GTTCAGATCTGGAGAGTCTCAGTTCCTGTAATTTCTAGTGGGAAACAGGGCTGCTACTGTTTTTGTTCTGTCCTACGGAGATTTGTAGCTTTGCTGGGCAGGAACTCTCTACTGAAATGTGCTTAGCACAGCTGGAGCCTCTCATCACAGCTGTAAAAGAAACAATTAAAAATAACATTTGTGCTCATCAGCAGTGTCCCATTGGCTTTCCTCTGTGCTAATACTCAAAGGCAGCTGTCTTTGACAGGGCCATTAGTCAAATCCCACTCCTCTTCTGAGCAGGCTGCCCATGTTGATGAGCAACCTGTTAGAAGGGATGAGGGAGATCCTTCTGTCACTTCCGACACAACCTCTTTTTTTCACCCTTCTCTCAGTGGCAGCATGGACATCAAGGAATATTTTGCCAGAATTTCTTACCAGGGCTCCTATGATAAGCCAGACCTGGCTACCTTGACAGAGATATTCCAGCACCACATCCGAGCGGTCCCTTTTGAAAACCTCAGCATCCACTGTGGAGAAAGCATTGAGCTGGACCTGGAAGCAACTTACAACAAGATAGTGAGGAAGAAACGCGGGGGCTGGTGCATGGAAAACAACCACCTCTTATCTTGGGTCCTGAAAACCCTTGGCTACGAGATCACCCTTCTGGGATCAAAAGTTTATGTCCCGGAGCACAACGCCTATGCAGAGGAAATCGATCACCTACTGCTCAGAGTGGAGCTTTGTGACAAATCCTACATCGTGGACGGTGGGTTTGGGATGGCCTACCAGATGTGGCAGCCAATGGAGCTGGTTTCAGGGACAGACCAGCCGCAGACTCCTGGGGTCTTTCGCTTCGTGGAGGAGAGCGGGGTCTGGTACCTCGAGAAGGTGAAAAGGAAGCAGCAGGTTCCCAACCAAAGCCTCTCCACTTCCCACAATGTGGATAGCGAAGTTTGCCGGCGGGTTTATCTCTTCACCCTTGAGCCCCGAGACATCAAGGAGTTCAGAGCCTGCAATGCCCACCTGCAGACCGCGCCGGACTCGCTGTTTGTGACCAAGTCTATCTGCAGCCTGCAGACATCTGATGGTGTCCGGGCTCTGGTGGGGTGGAAACTCACCGAGATAACATACAATTATAAGGATAATATGGATCTGGTGGAAATCAGAATCCTTGCAGATGAAGAAATGGAGAAAACACTGAAAGAGAAATTCACTATAACACTAGACAAGAAATTTGTACCTGTCAATACAAGCAGATTGTCTCTGTTTTAAGTCACTGTCTGAATGATAATTAAATCCAGTGGCATTACATACAATCCTTCCCCTTATTTCTAAACAGCATCTAAAGGTTAAGCTTTCTCTTTCCATCTACACCAGCGTAAAGCAGAACACATTAGCATGAATCTGGAAAAGAAATTGATTTTCACAACTGCTCCTGCATCTCTGTTTGGTTTGGGTACAAATAATTCCTTCCTAGCTCAATCAAATCACTCCCCTTCTGTTTGTGCTTAGCTGGAAGCAGGCTCTGCCCATTTCCTACTTCTTTCATCTCTTAAAAGCCTTTCCAAATACATCCAGAGTAGCAGGGCAGAGCGACGGAGCTGTATGTCTCTTTCTTTATTACTTTGTGCTGCCACCAGGGAAAAATATATGCACCTCTTCACTGAATACCATATTATTTTTGGAATTTAACAGCCAGAAAAACAAAGCCATCCTCTGCTGAGTTAGCTACAGTGAGCCGTAAGCCTGTTCTTTTTGCTCTGGCATTCACAGCAGCCTCTCAGGCAGCTGTTGGGCAGCCTCATGCCTGTATCTTACTGAGCAAATACTTAGAGACTGGCTATTTATGGCCTCAGACTGATGATGAGAATTAGTAGTGGACAATACTGTCTTGTTTCAGACTTCACACAACCCCTGTTCTCTCAGTGACATAACCAACAGCAGTATTTCTTTGAACTGAAAGCATCTCCCAGCCATGGTGTTTGCTCCCACCCAGCAGCAGACTGCTGGGAATACGTGCTCCTCTTGCAAGACTTGACTCCAGGTGTTAATATACATTAATTACCCTGGCTGAACACAAACACACGCACAGAATTCTTTTTCTGAAACATATCTGTTCTACTTAGGATTGTGCTGGCAGTGATACTAATTATATTGATATAAGGAGAAATGATGAATCTTAATCAGATACCTAAAGGCTAAGATTTTTAGCATGAGAAATTACTCAAATGTAATCACTTTGCCCTTTGAGATGATGCTTGATGTTCCTTTATGTACAAATCATGGAAACATTACAACTATGCACTCATAACTAAGTATACTATATAAGTGAATTACAACCAAAATAAAAAAAAAAAGAAAAATTGTCAAGTAGAAGTATTCACCTGTTTTTTTCCCAAATTATAATGTGTATCCCCAAAGTAAAAAAATGTCTTTAACCACTGCAGTTGTTCTGATTATTTCTATGTGCTAATATTTTGCAGCTAAGGCTTAAAAAAATTACAATAACTCACTGACCCCTTTTTATTTGCTATGCAACAAATGCAGCCTTCTAGAAATATTGTTAATAAAAGCTGCTGCCATTCTGCATATTCAAAAAATATTTCACAGAGACACAGTGCATTTTCAAAATCTCTGCCTTCCCAGAGTCAAATGCATCTGCATGTGCGTGGCTGAATGTGTGTTATGGTCCCTTATAGCACATGGGGATAGGAAAGGAAATGTAAAGAACTGACTCTGTAGTAGATTACAGAAGTAAAAAGGGGCTTCTTGTGGTGTGCACCATCAGTATTCTACACTGATGGTCAGAAGAAACTGTCTTAGAATCTGCCTTATTTGCAAGATCCATCTTTGGTCCCCATTTCAGTAGAGGAGCTAAACTCAGTGGGTTTATCCTTGCAGCAATCTGGTGGCTGGGGCAGAGCATCAGGATGGAGGTAAAAGCCCAGCCAGGTCTTACAGAGGTATGAGGCAAGAGGTCTATGGAGTGCCAAGAAGCACCATCTTTCACGGGAACAGACAAGGGAAATACACAAAAAGAGCTGCGCCTGCTCCTCTTCCTGTGCCTGGGTGTTTCTTGTGCTGTCAGGAGAAGGAGTAGAGTGTTACGTCCATTGCTGCAGAGATTCAGCAGGTGAAGGGCAAACAACCCTAGGAAAACCTACTTTCAGCTAACTCATCTCCTCGAGCATCTGCCTGGTCCGCTGCTCTGGCTGCTGCCCACTTCATGGCACAGCTCAGTGCTCCTGGACCTCCTGCTCAGCACACCCACAGTAGCAGATTTTGTTGCTGAGCAATCAAAAGACGTTCTCTGCTTGAAGGGCGGGGGGGAGGGGGGG